AAGATAATCAATTCATATTGCAAGCATAAACATAGTTTCAAATCACCCCCTAGCTAAAGGGGGGTTTAGTTCCTCATACTTGCAAAACAAAGATAAATAAAATTAGACATTGAAATCAAAGATAGAAAACACCTAGAAACGCTCCAACACTCCCAAGGCTTGGGCTTAGGCACGGCACAAGATGTTCCTTCTCCTTCCTTACTTGCAAGCTGCGGCACTAGAGGTTTTGGACGGTTTTGGGTGGTTTTTATGGTGTAGAATGGATGGGGAATGGTATGGAAAGGTTTAGGATTGATGGGTGGTGTGGCTAGGGATGGTTTTTGGCTAAATTTGGAGAGAATTTCTGTTATATCTTTGATGAATATGGAAGGTGGTATTTATAGGCTTGAGATAGGACCACTCCATTTCCTTTGCATGTGAGCTTGTGTGGGTGTGTGTTGGCATGTTTCCCCTTTACATTTACACACACATGCTTCATCATTTCAACCACAAAACACACACATTTTCTGCCATGTTTTTCCCTTTACATTTACACACACATGCTTCATCATTTCAACCACAAAACACACACAATTCCTTCACCTTTACCATGAGTTTTGTATGTGTATGCTTCAATGTTCTTCTCTTTGCCATGTGTTTGCTTTCTTTGCCATGTGTTTATCCTTGCAATTACACACACACACTTGCACACACAAAAGCCCAAAACGTCCATCCTCATGTCTCCATGTTTGCACCATCCAATCTTAGCCCAAAAATGCTCCAAAATGCACCTTCTTGCATCCTTGGCCCAAAGAACCTACAAACACACAAAAATGGCTTAAACTACTAACATAACTAAGAACTAAGAACATAAATGCACGAAAACAAACATACTAAGTCGCATAAATATACTCCTATCATGAACTCAGAATTTATATATGTAACATTTCAAGACTTATGTTGGTATGAAATTATAATTCCTCACCCGTCATTACATTTTTTGACAGGGATTTCAGTTCATAAAACAATAAACTGCATAAATTTGTAAAAGTCTACTTTTATATATGGTAAAATCTTGGATTGCCAATTGAGGATATGGTTGCAATTTGAATTTGAGCTACATTCCGTGCACATGTGGTATGTATATGTGCACTAAAATCTCCAAAATATAAAATTCCAATTTCATTCTCTCCCTTAAGAACGTTATTACTAAAGAAATTAAAGAATATTTTCAGTTCATAGTATGAGTGCTATATGTGTTTCTTTCATTGCTAAAACTTAATTGATGACCGTATGGAAGCTATGAAAGAACTCTCTGTACAATTCTTTAAATATGGTACAGTTTTGTCTTAGGTATGCATACAATCATTATTTGTGAGATAATTAGTTGCATGGTTGGCTTTTAGCTGTTTGTTTGTTGATAATTACATATGGTTCTTAAGGAATTATATATGATTTCTGAGGTTTGAGATCAATATCAATATACATGGCCCCCACAATCGCCAATTGTACCATATGGGCATAAATTTTGGCAAAATTATGATTCATTCAACTACTACTTTTCGTCTTTGTTAGATTTTTTTTGTTTCACTGTGTTTTGCAGCTCATGGAATACTCTTCCCAAACTTAGACTCTTAATCAGTAAGCAAGTGGACGTCATAAGTTTCTAAATTACAGGTTAGTTATCCATTTTTGAAAATCATGTACAGAGTAGTTCATAGATTTACATTATTTGAAAGTTCTTATTGTGTTTGTGTTATGCTTGTTGCGTATTTGCTTAGCTTAATTATAAATTAGGGGTGGTTGAAAAAGTTTGAAATTTTATTCATGCCTGTTTTTTCCTTTCTTCCCATCATTCAATTTGTTGTCCGGGGTTTTAGTTTTATTCATCTTAACATCATTCACTGTATTTAATCTGGTTTCATTTTTTAAATATACTACCATTTTTGCCATTGTGCTGTTTGTGTAGAGAGATATCTGTTTGTGCAAAGAGGAGATATCTCATTACAAATAACTCAATCCAACATAACATTTGCTACTCTAAAAGCATTATGTGAACTCCCAACGATATTTTTTTATGTACAAGTGAGGTTTGAAAGTTTCGAAGCATCAATTAGAGAAGAAAGATTTACCACTGATTACTATATATAGTATAGTTATGCCATGTTTATATGCTTCTAAAACTTGCAAATATCTCCACCTTCCCTTGCTAAAAGTGATGATGGTGTTGTATTAGGAGGCAGGGAACAAAAATTCTGAATATAGTTCTGAAAATTGATTTTTGTTGTTCTTTCATTTTGATTTTTTTTTAATAATGATGTAGTTAAAGAAATTATATGCTCTATCAAGTATGTTTTATATATAATTGTGGTAGTTGCATGGAAATGAAATATTTATACGGATGATCGCTATTTTAAATATATAGAAATAGAGAATAATTGTAAATGGAACACCTAAGATATTTAACATTGTTTTCTTTTCCATGTAATTTTTCTCATGTTTAACATCTACTTTTGTTTATGCATTTGATTCAAGTGCTTTTTTTATTAGTGTTAATTTTGGGTTGCATATGTTAAAATTTAGTTTTGTTGTTGATGTTGCACATTTAACAATTAATAGTTTGTTTGGAATTTGGTTGTTTCTTTAATTTCATGATCACTCATTCTCACAACTTCTGTTCTGCATGTATAAGATTTGTGTTCATCGAGGGGATTTCAGACGGATTTCAAGCTGGGCTGCAAAGATTTGATTCAAATTGGTGGATTTGGGTAAGAAACCTTGATATTTCCTTTCAATTTTAAGAGCTGAAGTGGTCATGCATGTCTTTTTCTTTGTGAGATATAAGAGATTAATAAAAAAAATTTGTTTATCACTCTGAACTGATTTGCAGATTTAATTTGGTTTTGCGTGTTAGTGGTTTTTGAAATTATAGTTGATTTTTTGGGATTGGAATTTCAAATTTTATGGTTTAAGTTTGTTGATGCACAAAACCGGAAGGGTCTTGAAACAACGTAAATTAATCTGCAAGAAAAGTAAGTATCATCATGCAACCGCAATGTTCGGGCTACGTCCACACTGATATTATATTTCTCTGAGAGGATTGTAAGGGAGAGAGCCTCTGTATGTGAGGATGAGAGCTTGAGGGTGAGGGAGCTTCAGGCCTCAGAATTGGTCTCCCTTAATAAGGAGAGTGAGGGGTCCTTTTATAGAATAAGGGCTCCTCACTTATTACATATTTGCCCCTTCATTTATTACATAATTACATTTGAGTCCACCGAGTATTTATACGACGTCTAAATACGGAGGCCGTAAGTATGGTACAAACAGTAGTCCCCCAAGTCTTCAGTCAAGAGAGTCTTTTGGCTGGAGACTTGAAATTCAGTCCATGTGTGGGCCGAAGTAACTAGATGTTATCTTGAACTGATGCTCGATATGAGGCGGTGCTCAATCTGAAGTGATGCTCAACTAGCACATGTTGCGAGGCTGCTCGGTTTGTGGCTTATGTTGCTTTGGTTGGCTAGGCTTGTGGCGTTGAAGGTGAGGGAGTCCCTTTTATAGAATAAAGGCTCGCTCCTCAATACATAAGTGATGGGCTAAGAGTGATGCTCGCGGTGAGGTGGTTGCTCAGCTGGTGGCGATGATCTCTAATGAAAGTGAGGGAGTCTCTTTTATAAAATAAGGGATCACTCTTCAGTACATGAATAATGGGTGTTCTCTAATGAAAGTGAGGGAGTCCTTTTTATAGAATAAGGGCTCGCTCCTCAATACATAAATAATGGGCTAAGTCCTCAAAGTATTTTTCATGAGGCCCAGTTGTGGAAGCCCAATATATGGTACATAGTGTAGTCCCCCAAGTCTTCAGTCAATAGGGTCTGTTGGCTGGAGACTTCAAATTGAATCTATGTATAGGCCGAAGTGGCGGTTGTTCGAATGCGGTATTTATATACCCTACACTGAAGCTTTGTAGGTGAAGCTTTGCAAGTGAAGCTTTTGAAGCTGGAGCTTTGTAAATAAAGCTTTTGAAGCTGAAGCTCTCGAAGCTGAAGCTCTGTAAATGAAGTTTTTAAAGCTGATTGACATAAGTGATGCTCATGAATATTTATGTTGATTGACATGAGTGATGCTCATGGATGTTGACATGAGTGATGCTCATGAATGTTAACATGAATGATGATCATGAATGTTTATGTATGATTGACATGAGTGATGCTCATGTATAATTTTGGAGTACTATATGTACTTTTGATCACCTAATGGGTGATAATAGCGGCAGGCTGCTGAATAATTTTGGAGTGTTGGGCGTACTTTTAATCACCTGGTTGGTGACAATAGCGGTAGGGTGCCGAATAAATTTGAAGCCATATGGCTTGGCTCTTTTGGGCATATGGGCCTTCGCCCTCCACATAACATTTCAGCCCATTATTTTGGGCTTGCCGTTTTTTTTATTTTTTTATTTAATGATTATTACCCTCTGATGGGGTTACACAGATGTCTCCGAAAGATAAGGAAAATAAATTACATCATTCAAAAATAAATCCAACCCTCTGCTTAATGGGTCACGCCCATAGTTCCCTTTTCTGCATGCCATCACCACCGTAATTATGCTTGCTTTTTTTTGTCTTTTGTCTTTTTTTCTACTTTTGCTTTCTGCTTATGTTTTTGTTTCCCACTCCTTTTCCAGACATCCTTTTGCTGTTTTCTTTTCTCTTTCCACTGCGTCTTCCTCTCTGTCTCTGTCTCTGCGCTGTTATCCATTTGTAAAAAGCATCTTTGAAGGTCATCACTCATAAGCTCCGCGACCACTTTTTTTAGAGGTCATCAACCCACGTGTGCTTGCATGCACCTGATCCATTTAATCACAGAGAATTAATGGAAAGCATCGCCGGGCAAAAGCAAAAGCATACCAATATCAGTCTCCTTTTTTCTTTTTCTTTTTCTATTCTTTAGTAACATCATGATTTTTTTTTCTTTTTCTTTTTCTATTTTGTTCCCACTGCCTTTCTCTCTGTCTCTGTCTCAACATGAATGTGAGCATACCAATATCAGTCTCCCATATGAACGCCTCTGCTGCCGCCAGCTACACCTCCCCGCTAGCTGACGTGGTGAACTCGAACAACACCCTCGAAGCCATAAGCGGCGATGTGGAAATGATTGAGAAGTTCTTCGACGAGCCGTCGGTGTTCGTCTTCTTCATCAACCCCACAATCGGCTTGGAGAAGAAACGACAGGTGCTGGACGACATCTTCGAGTTGTCGACGCTACAACAGAAAGTTAAAAAAAGCAGCTGGAGGTTCCCTTGGAGATCGTGAGCTGCAGGTACCAAAGTCGCGGAGCTGACGATCGTGAGCTCGGTGGTGAAGCTGGAGTCGCAGCACTTGGCGCAAATAGCGAAACAGGTGCAGAAGTTGACGGGGGTGAATAATATGAGGATCAAGATGGAGATTGATTCGAGCCTGGTAGCGGGGTTCACGGTGAGGTACGGGCAGTCGGGGTCGAAGCTTATTGACTTGAGCGTGAAGAAGCAGCTGGAGGAGATTGCAGCGGAGCTTGATTTGGGTGACATTAAGCTCAATTTATAACTCCAAATTTGCTCTTCCAATTTATTTGCATTCGTATTATCTTTATTTGCATTCGCACTCTCTCTACGAAGCGTAGAACTCAGCTTTTTGGAATTCTCATTCACCACCACACCTTCGTGTGGCTTGGATCTGCGATGGGTCCTGAACTTTTCTATCTCGACATCAGCGAAATCAGGAATTAGGTCGGGAAATTTGTATTCGCCTGCTGCTCTGCATATCTAGTGCTTTTCTGAGGACAAAAATGGCGAAGCAGAACCGGCGTCAGTTGGGGTTGTCAGCTCTAGTGCCATCAGAGACAACGCGGTGGATCTCGGCGCCGGCAAACTGGGCCTGGGCCAGGCCTTCTTGGGTGAGTGGGATTTTGTTGTCGGGGGTGATGGTGTCGGTCTGAGAAATTGGAGTGGAAGAAAACCTTTATGGTGCTGAATGAGAGCTTTGATCCTCTGTGGGTGGGAGCAGCATATGAGGAAAGAGACAGAGAAGAAAACGAAGAAGAAGAATAGATATGGAGGCCAGGCACGTGGTCTGTGCAGTTGCAGAGAGAGATTGAGTCAGAGGGGAGGTGGCTCCGTGGGTTTTCTGGGAAATTTTTGGGTTCTTGGGTTTTTGCAGATTCAAGGTGGAGATGAAAAAAAATGAAAGAACCGACATAGCTTTTCATGTCGATTCCCACAGATGGCGCCAAATGTTGATGCACAAAACCAGAGGGGTCTTGGAACAACGTAAATCCGACCGTAAATCTTTAAGAAAGTAAATAACACAAGATGTATCGTGGTTCACCCCAATGTTCGGGCTACGTCCACACTGATATTGTATTTCTCTGAGAGGATTGTGAGGGAGAGAGCCTCTGTATGTGAGGATGAGAGCTTGAGGGCGAAGGGGCTTCAGGCCTCAGAATTGGCCTCCCTTAATGAGGAGAGTGAGGGGTCCTTTTATAGAATAAGAACTCCTCACTTATTACATATTTGCCCTTTCATTTATTACATAATTACATTTGAGTCTCCCGAGTATTTATACAAGGTCTAAATACGGAGGCCCTAAGTATGATACAAACAAAGTTGATTTCGTATTGGTATGTTGTCGGAAATTTCAATAGTTCTGTGTTGGAATTAAAAGAACTATGCATGCTAAAGTTTTACATGGGTGTCAGAAAATTTTATATAATTTTTTTTACGGGAATTAACTTGAGTAAGTATGGGTGGTTTTGGATTTGAAATTTTAAAGGGAAAATAGAAATTACAAGAACACAACTAATATAATATAGTTGTATGAATATATGGTATATACATTAAGTTATCTACAAACATATGAAAATAATTATATCATTATAGTCAACCCTGTAAGAACACAATTAGTTCGAATAATCAACGATTAACTAACTATGGAATTCTCCTTTTGTGTTTGTTTGATTTTCTTTGTTTCACTGTGTTTTGCAGCTCATGAAATTATCTTCCAAAATTAGATTCTTAATCATTGTACAATTATAATCTGATTCAATTATGTTTTTTCAATGAGAATATTTGCATGTTGTGACAGAACAATTGTCTAAAGTTCATTAAACCTATCATTAGTGAAATTCAAACTTAGCAATAAGATAACTTTTTCATTATATACATAACAAATAGTAATAAACTAGAAAAAAAAAAAAGATATGATCCAATTCCTATTAATTCTCAATTCTTTTATCAGGATTGCTCTTAATCCGAGTTTCTCAATTCTTTAGGGTTTAGGGCACCCATAGCAAAAACACTAGCTTCATTCATACTAATATACTTTATCTTTTATGTTTAGCATAAAATAGATAACAATGCATGATAATGAATTACAAATTGTTCTTTATTTCTTATATTCAAATTTGTTTTTTATACTTTCTTCCTACGTATGACACCATTTTTCCATCCATGCCAACTAATTATTATTTATTATCTATTAACTGCCATAAAACGTTTTTTTAACACTTTATTGTACAATTTTAGGAAGGGAAAAAAATTGCTAATTCAACAAGGAGCTTACAGAGTTGACAAATACATTTTCAAGCAATGAAGAGGCACACATTCAAAGGTATGTAAAATTAATTAATACTTTATTAATTTTGTTTTATTAAAGTTGTACGTTTATTTACAATTTTTACTAAGCTTTCTCTTCAAGGGAATTAGCTATTACTAATATATATACAAACTATCTTCTTTTCACATGATCTAAATACATGACAAATTACCTACTTGCATATTGAAAGGTTAAATTGAATAGCCAAAAGTATAAAAGTAGACATTTGCACTAGAGATATACCCTGTCCACATATTTTAATCTAATATGTTCTTTCACAGATTTACAAAATATGGACAAGATTTATCTTTAGTAGAAGGATGTCTGTTTATACTTTCGAATGTTAGCCTTAAACCTTTCGCTAGACAAACAAATAATTAGCCATGTATTCACAATAAGTTAGAAGAAGAAAGTATCTATATAAATTGGTAATGGTTAATTTCTCTGAAGAGAAAAGACGGAAATAATGATTCTTACTCCATATAATTAAACCTAAGTTTACCAATTTACATAAATCTGATCCGTCTTAGATCGCCATTTAACTTTGTTTTAAAAATTATAATATTGGCAAATAAACTGCTATTTAATCATAGCATGATTTGCAATACTTTTCTAACTCTTATATAACGCTATCACTAAATATATTTTATTGCATAAGACACCAATTTCCATCTTTGTTGTACTAAATTGCAACAAACTTATCTTTTCTGAAACGTTATTCAAATTCTCATCCCAGGTATGTATCCAATTTCACTTACTCTTTATTTCTCAATACATTTGTTTGTATAAATTAATATAACATTAGCCACAACTAAACAACTTACAAATTATGCTCAATCTATTTTTAATAATTTTTTTTAATTGTTATTACCTACAAACTTCGCAGCAGCGCGCGAGCATCACTCCAAATAGAATCTAGATTCCAGCAAACCACTCCACCACTCAATTCAAATTGTACTTAGAAAGTACTCAAACAGTGCATGCAGCTGGAGTTCGTGAAAGCAATATGACATTTGAAAGAGAACTAAAACTTTATTGACTAATTTCAGACTCTGTGGCTTTATGTGCTGCCTGTTCATGATTGATATTTTAGGGTTACAATCAGAGACCCTACTGGCCCAAAATGAATTGCTGCATTTCTTTTACTTTAAGGTCCAAAATCCTACGGACGATCCATATAGGTCCACTAACACCAGGCTGCGCAGGAGACACAACATGTGAAGGAACGAAGTCTAATTCTTCACTAGTGCAATAATAAGCGGAAGAGAAATTTGATGTGATTGTGGCAGAGAAGAACCGTGGCCATCCCCATGTGTTATTTTTAATGTTACTGGTAGAAAATGTCTGTTTATGGAGAAGATGTTGGAAAATAACAGAGAGAAAAGAACAAAAAATAACTGGATCTGTTATCCGCAGCCAGGTTTTTTGAGGAAGGCTCAGTTTGCTCATGTGAGTTGAGGTTGTGGTGGTGAAAGACTTGAAAGGGCATCGTTCATTCTCTCAGTTGAAATCCTTTTTGAGGATTTTGAATTCAGCTGCAGCATGGGGTTCTCATGTGGGGTGTTTTCTACAGACTTGGTCTTTTGTATGGTGAAGAATAAAAGCCTAATGGCTGGCTGCCTCATACAGTTTTTGACTCGATGGATAGGGTTTTGTGTGTATGTGAATGTACTTATTATATGTGTGAACTTCTAAATGATGAGAAGTCACTGTAGCAATATCTCAAGCCAATCTCGTATGTTTGCCATTGTGGAAAAACTAAAACACATAGCAGTGCATAATTAACTTTAAATATATACTGAAATGGTGACATTCCCTGTAGGTAAGTGTCTCTTGTGCCAACAACACTTTCTTCAAATATTTTTGTTCATCTTTATTTCTTATAGTCTGCTTTCATGTGCTATTTACAGTGCATCAAAAGCAGAAGCTATTAAAAACCAATAATTTTGATTTGCTTTAATCACATTATTTGAAGATATCTGACAGCAAAAGAAAAGAAAAAAAGGAATTATGGTTCTGTAATTTATAGGTCTACCTAAAATTCCCAGTAAAACACATAATGTCAGTTTAGATATTATATGTACATCTTCACAAGTTTTTCACTGAGATTTACTTTGGTAGATTTTTGGCAGTAAACCTAGCTATATCGTATCTTTTGTCTTTGTGCAGAAAACAGAATAAATTGATGTTTGGTTTGATTTCTATTTGTGCAGAAACCTAGTTATATCCAATCTGTCTTCTGTACACTGAATCAATCACATTCAATGAGGTTGATTTTTTCCCTTATTAGAGAATATTGCTGGAACATAATTATGGTAAGAACTAAATAAAGGCACATGGAAATTAGTTAGTTGGATATATTCAAAGAAGTTTTTTGTCCCCCTTACGTGGACTATTGATTCAGTTAACAAATAATGAGGGTGATATTTTCTTGACTAGAACGGTGAAGCATCAGGCAAAGAAAATAGATTGAGCAAAGATTATATGTGTGGCTGCTGATGAAAAGATTTTTTTGTGGATGAAAGGAACTTGAGCAGTTTTATCAATTCCTACAAAAGAACCAGCTCATTTGCACCATTGGACCTTCATAACCAAACAGTTTCCTAATCTATTGCCTAACCACCGAGTACTTCTAATTCATTGATGTACTAGCGTCACTAGTTCATTCATGTTATAATACTTGTATATATCAACAGTTTTATACCCTAAGTTCATGTGCTACCAATCATGTTATCTACAATATTATGACACGTAAATTAATAACATCATGTGACCCTCTCACTATCAGTCTCAAAAACTTATCCATAACACCATCCTCACCATCTGTTCAATAAGCTTTAACTTTCTGCTGATATCATTATATGCATAATGCCCTTTCCCTTTTCCTCCTACCTGAGCCATCTAGAAAAAAATTTAGAAATGATTACCGCCTACCGGCCAATACTTATATTAGT